ACCCTAATCCTAGAAATGCTTATGAATGTGCTGAATTTTAAGCATGTGTGTAGTCTCACTGACTTCATTGGGACTACTGACATGTTTAAAATTAAGTGCATGAGTAAATGTCTGTTCTCGTTTGCACTGGTGCAATTCCACTGAAGTCAACGGGGTTACACAGATGTGGCTGGGAGTGAATGTGGCCATTAGCAACTAGATATGGCAAAGACATGTTATGTCGTCATCCCTTCCCCTCCCAGCATAGGAATACATTCTACTGTATATTCTCCAGCGCTTTATCCAGTGTTGATTTAAAAGATTCAGGAGATGGGGATTTTGCTGCCTCCTATGGGAGACTCTTTCGCAGTCTGAGAGATCTAATTTTTCCTTGACTATTTTGCTTAAATTTTCCTTTACTCATTCTCTTTACTCCTAATGACCATCCTAACCGGTTCCTCTTGCTCCTTGGTGTTCACGCCCTCCAGATACTTGTCATTGTATTTACCTTTAGCTATTATCTAACCAACTTTAACAGCTTTAGTTCTTTCTCCTGCTCAGCTTATCCCTCCAGTCATTTTTTTATGTTCTTCCTTGAATTCCTTTCAGTTAGTCAGTGGACCCAGTTCATTCCCAGCAGCAGGAACTCTGTCCAGGGCTGGGTTCAGCAGTGCAAACAGTCAGTGATTCTGATCCTCCAGGTGGCCTAGAATCCACAATGGAGCCAATGCAGTTGACAGTGGGTGGGCCATCCCTAGGGAAGGCGTGGCACCAGGACTGATGAGATGAACCAGCATATCTTCTGGGTGGCCTCCATCAGTAGGCTTACTATGGAGCTCTACGCACACCTGTGCCACTCCCCAGTGGAGCCCTGTGAAGAAGGCCCTGCCACCTGCCTTGGGGCTGAATGTTGTGCTCCAGATGCAAGATGCTCCTCTTTGCAGCACCGGGGTGAATCAAGCCTAGAATTTTTCTGACATATTGAGGTTCCTGCATGATCTTGCAGGACTGTACAGGGGGACTGGCACATCCCTGGCCTGTGACCTGATTTTTTTCTGTGTATGAAGCCCCAAAGTACAAGATCTATTTTGTCCCTGTTTAACTATCCCCAGTCCTCCTGGGCCATTCCTGTTTTCCCAGAATCTTTGTCCCATTGGATTGTTTTTCCCCAGCTGTATTAGTCTGCACTGAATCTCTTTTAGTTATTTTTTTTCTCCACGTGTCTAACCTATTATTTCTCTGCCCTCACTGGTGTTTGCAACACCTCCCAATTCAGCAGCATTCACTGATTTCATTAAAATGCGGTTTACTTTTATTTTAAATAAGATTGTAGCAAATGTCAGTCCCTAGGGGCACACCTTTTGGCTTCGTGCATTTTTTTCCCTCTTTATTGCCCTTTTGTTTGTTGTTGTCTGGTGAATTTGCAGCCATTATGACAGTGCTCCATCCTATCCAAACTAGTTGTGTAAAGCTATGAGAACATTCTTTAAAAAGCTCGTAAAGAATCTATTGGAGTCCCTTCATTCACTAAATATTTTAGAGCTCAAACAGTGATCAGGTTTGTGTAGCATCATTTCAGCATATGAACAGACTGCACAGGTTACCAACTAGTGTGTTACATCAAAGGCAGGAGAGCAAAGGGAAGCTCAGGAACACTCTAGTCTAGTCAGTTTCATTTTGCAATGGCAGTTGGCCAATCAGTTCCTAGGAAACAGCATTGCAGTCCCTGCAAAGGATTCCATACCTTTAGGAGAAGATGGGCAGTCCTCTGCCCTGCAAGTTTTTCAGACGCAGTTTCAATTGTGTTAGCTCAGTGAAGTAAACTAAAGGTTCAACTAATGCTGAACGTTAAGCCTTTGTATTATTCATGGAAGAATGCTCTCCAATATTTTATCCGTTACAGATGGAATAACTTGCAAGCACAGTGATGTAGTCCCATAACTGACTTGTAAGCACAAACCCCTCTTTCCCCATCGTATCTCTGAGAGAAGAGTCTGTTTTCTGAAGATGCTGAGCTATAAGCACAGGTGGACAAATGATTCTCTGTGGAGTACATGTCTGGGGAGGCTCATCTACTTTATTTCACTAAGAGTCTAAACTATAGTTTGCTCCTGGAATGTGCTTCTGAAAAGCTAGTATGTAGAAAGAAGTATATGGATTACTGGAGGTTAGGACTGTTTTTATGATCTTTGTGCCTAGGAATATTAAACTGGTATATATATCCCTTGACTTCTGGTCTGACAAGAGAGAATGGTAAAGCACAGAACTGAGAGTCATGAGACCTGGACCCTCTTCCCAGATGTGCCACAGACAAGTCATTTAACAATTTGGGATTCAGCTTCCCCATCTGTAAAATGGGAATAATGGGCTATTCCTCATAAGGGTGTTGGTGAGTTTGAATTAATTAATACATGGAAACCACTTAAAGATCCTCCTATTGGAAGCCCTCAAGTGCAAAGTGTTGTCATTAGTTCTTGTCTTCCACAAAGTATCCAAATGGTAGCTTCCCTCTCTTCAGAGCAATAGTGTGGCATAGACTTGGCTGCTCTTAGCCACTCATACGTTAAAAATATTCAGGTTTTTTGGCACTATTTATGGGAGGGTGAGAAGTATTAGGCTTTTAGAGCCAAATTCTGCCCTCGGCTGTGCATTCAGGATTTCCACTGCTGTCAGTGGGAGCCTACAAATGTAGAATTTGGCCTTTATTTGTGTACCACATCAAGGACAAGGCTTGGCAAATCTGCCCTAAGAAGAATTCATGATGGGATCATTGCCACCTAAGAAGAATTCCTTCCTGATCCCAGATATGGTACAATGGAATGACTACCAAATTGACTAGCTCCAAGCCATGCAGAACCACCACCCTAACCAACTCTCTTGCACCAGAACCAAAGAATTCCAGCCTGAAAAAAAATCTCAAAAGGGTTGGGTGGGTAGATTGCCATCTGCCAGCAATGGAAGGTAGTGGGACTCCCTGTTGACAGACCTCATCATCACAGCATCTCTCCAGCTGGACACTCCATAAAGAGACATAATTCAAGCCTGCCAATCAGACCACCTAAAGCCCATCTATGCTAATTTGTGGGGCCAGTGTCCAGTGCTACCCAGAAAGGGCTTTGTGACACATGCCACAGCCCAGTTTGGGGTAATAACAGCCTTGATGAACAGAACACCTGCCAGTCCCCATGAGAAATGTTGCCTTCAAGAAACTGCGCTCTGTAGCATATGTATGCCTGTCTACAACCACGTGGGTCTGATTTACAAAACACAGTAATAAACCCCTCGGTCAGATGGTCAGTTATGTGACCTCCGGCAAGTTTCAGGTGCATTTTTTATTTTGGTTAATACAGACTTCTTGCTGTAGAGTATTTCGTCGCCATATCCAGCCATGGAAGTGCTGTGAGGTAGTGAAATGTTCTTTGATGTGTTTAATGGGTTTTCCCCCTCTCTTTTATTTTTGGGTTGCTATAATGTGTACATTTGCCTTAACGCTAACGTGGGGAAATACATCTATATTATTCCAGATATTTTAATTACTGCAAGATTAGAACAGTCACGCAATCTGTGCTGCACAAGTTTTAATGGGTCATGTTGTACTCTCAGGAGTAATCCCCATTGAAATCAGTTTGTCTAAAAATCACTGGCAAGATGTGACCATAGAATAATTTGTTAGTATTTAAAGATCAGGTTCTAACACTTTGTTCCTACTGCATGGCAGTTTATGTCTCAAATGGTCCTGTGCCAATGGGATTACTCATGGACTACTAAAGTACTACTTGGCATGAGTAAGAGGATCAGAATCTGGCCCTAAGAACACAATAGTAGAAGTAGCTAATTTATCATTTATCAGTTGGGTGATGGCATTTAGACAGTAAACTGAACTGTCTTACAAGGGAGGCTCTATTCTGAAGCTACGGCTAAACTTTCAAAAGTGATGAGTGATTTTTTGGGTGCTTCAGTTTTTGGGTGCCCTCCGGGAGACCCAACAATTCCCACTCCCACCCGCTCCCACATTGTTGGTTGAATTTTTATCCTGCTCCCACTATTATGGCAGTGGGTCTGGTGGGACCAGCGGGATCCCAGTCCCACTGCAGGGCTCTACCCCCTCCCATCTTTTACGTCATTTTTCTGTCCCCCAGCCCACTTTGCACCCTGAGCAGCTGCACCGCTTGCCCCGCCCTGGTTACGGCCTAACTACTTTGCCTTTTGCTTATTCCATCTTTAACATCACTTTGCTAAGCCTGATAATTTTCCAAACACCCCCACTGGCCTGACCCTACCTCTCAGCAGGGAGAGAGAGAGAAAGTGCGGGGTGGGGAGGGAAGGGAGGCTGGGTTACATTAACTGTGATGGTGAGTTTTGAGATGCTGACTGGTCCACTAAAAGTGGACAGTGATACTCAGCTCCTTTCAAATGGGTTACTAAACAGCCATCAGGTGGTGAGAACATTTGGTTTTTAGTGACCTGGACCTGATTTGAATTAATGACCCATTGGTGAAAGGATCTATGTCCCAATACGTCCCTTGGATCATTTAGGAAGCATTAATAGCATGTTTTAGTATTTATTTAAGGCCCTCCTATCTTTGTACTTTAATCTTCTCTCCATGCTACCACCTTAAAAATTATAGCTGTGGTTTTTTAAAAAGCATTTTGGTTAATTTCAGCTAAACAAGTTAAGTAACGTGTGTTTCTTGAAGTGAATGAGATCCAGGGTAAGAGGCCTGCAATTTTCCATAGGTACCTTGAAACTCACCCCCACAGAGCCCCGTGGACTTCAAGCATAGCACTCCACCTGCACAAAGTAGCTGCAAGGATCAAGGCCTATATACCTGACAGCCTTGATCTTGGCAGGTTGGTGGTAATGATGGTGCAGGTGACCTTTTAAACCTCACTATACTATACTAATATACTATAACTTTCTAAATAATGTTGAGTGTGGAAGCATATTATATTGTCCATATTATCCCATATTAGTACAGTAACAATCAGAAAGCTAAGGGCTCCATCCTACAAACATTTAGGGCATGTCTACACTTACCTCCGGAGCGATCGATCCAGCAGGGGTCTACATTTATCGTGTCTAGTGAAGACGTGGTAAATTGACCGCCGAGTGCTGTCCCGTCAACTCTGGTACTCCACTGGAACGAGAGGTGCAGGCGGAGTCGATGAGGGAGCGTCAGCAATCAACTTATCACAGTGAAGAAACCGCGGTAAGTAGATCTAAGTACGTCGACTTCAGCTACCTGAATAACATAGCTGAAGTTGTGTAACTTAGATAGATTCTCCCCTCTCCCCCACAGTGTAGACCAGGCCTTAGGCACCTGAGTAATTTACTGACATGAAGTCCGAGTGGGCCTTGCTGTGAGTCCCTTACTCTCAGTGGTGAATATTCAGTGGGACGACTTGTGCGAGCAGCCACTCATCAGCGGAGAAAAGGGCTCTCAACCTGGCCTATTGCCTGTCCATATGAGTAAAGTTACTTGTTTGCATAAGTGTTTGCAGGATCAGGCACTAATTCTGGCAAATGATACCAAGGGCTTTGCTGCTTACAAGAAAAATGTCTTTTATGATGACATTGTCTGTTTTCATTAAACGTGCAATATGTAATCTTATTCACTCTCCGTATTACATGAGGCCAAGTGGATTTGTATGTAATTATAGTATTCGGTAACAAAGATTTTGATAGCATTGTATTTTTTAACCAAGTGGCTGATTAGGAGTTTAGAACGAAGGTGACTCTTTCTGTACCGGTGTATGCATTTCTCCCTCAAATTCTCTGTGAGGCTGCAATTTCATTTACTAACTGTGTGCGAAGTTCAGGGGAGAAATAAAGTGGGATGTAGGTAGTGGTACCTTGTGCTTATAGACTGCCCAGGGTTAAATTTTGCTCCATGCAATTCATTATTATTTTGTTTTGGAAAGTCTGACAGACATTGGTTGTTTTTTCTTTAACAAGGCATGAGAGACCGGTGGTTTTCACCAGTGAAGTCAGTTCAGCCTGCCCCTTTTTTTGCCAGAGTAATTTGAAAGGTAATTTGGATTTAAAGCTTCAGGTGTGGCACGAAGGAGAGCAGTTTTTGATGAGGGCTTCATATTTTGCCAAAAATACCTTTTACAAATAAAGGCATGTTTATCGCAGTGATTCACTGGTTCAAAATAGGCAGCACCCTAAAGAATCTGTAAACACAGCTGTCAATTTGGGACTGGGTTCTGACACCTTTATTCACACCTTTCTCGATGAATGATCCCGCTGAACTCAAGGGCAATGCTAATAGAATTAGAGCTATGCAATGCTGATCTGGTCCTTAATGAGGTGTTGTACAGTGAACATAAACTGCGTATTTAGCAAATGTTGCTGACATGTTTGTGTGTGATGATACTTTAAGTGTATAAGAATATTCATGGCTTCCTTTTAAGCTACCATCTTAAAGTTATAACTAAATAGTTAATGATAAAAAGAGGTGATAGCTGAGGTCTCCGTCCTATTTAATTTAGGGTATTGTAGTCTGGGTAAACCATTTTTTGTAAATCATAAAAAAGTCTTCCTGATTTTTACACTGCCTTAAACTCTCAGACTGTTCACTTAATTTTCTGGTTTGAAGGAAGTTAGAAGGCTCTCCTCACATGCCATGTATCCTCAAATCTTGGCATTTTTAATTATTCTCCACAGTAGCAGAGAAAAGCTTTCATTGACAATTCTTACGTACAGCTTTGTGGCTAACTTCCCCACAACTCCTGTTTTATTCCCCTGTCTCGTACATATGCATGAAGCACATCTTCTTTGCTTTCTAATGCAAGACATTGCAATGTTTGGGTGAATGCCAAAGGCTCAATTCAAGTTGAATGGTATTACATTTTATTTAATGGAATAGAGTGAAATCACCATCATTTTCCGTTCAACCCACTGGTCCCGGGTGCCTTTCTTTTTAAGTTGGGAACTGCGGAGAAATGTATCTGCGTGCCAACTCCTTTCACTTTGACAAATAAGCTAAAATCCCAGCATACTACAGACATGGAAAGAATGGCAATACCAATCCTATCAACGAGGCGAGCATAGAAAGCACACGGACATCGTTTATATTCTGGAATAAGTGATCGTTTGACCACTGCTCCTCATTCATGTAAGTGATCCGTGCTCCCCAGCAGCGCCTCACTGTAAAGCTGCTGTTGCTCTTCTTTCTGCAGGCAATCAGAGAGTGAAGGCGGGAATCCCTAAACTGCAGAATAGTTTTCCATAATGCACATTGCCACTTAGAAGAAAGTCTCTCTCTTCAGCAGGAACTCGGCCTCTAACATGCTAAAGAGAAGTGCTGCTATGGCAAACTGCTTTTAAAGGCCCCGATTCTGGAGTGACTTCCACAAGAATGCAGGGGCTTGGCAGGATCAGAGCCGAAAAGAGCAGAGTGATCATTCAAATCCTCCATTCTTGGCATGGCAACAATACGATGTCAGTCAATGCATTTTAACAGCCTGGTGCCCCACTTTTCTCGGAGCCAGGTACTGTACCTGTGAAGATGGCACTCGCTTGTCTGCAAATAGGGAGGCATTATTTTCTGATGGAACACCAATCTGGGAGGCAGGAGACTTGGGTGTGTTCCTAGTCCGCCATTGGTTCACTGCCTAACCTTGACCATCTACCCTTTCCCAAAATGGAGTTCATGATTCTATATCTCTCTTTATGAAGCACTTTACTGTTATTAGACTCAAATATTTGCACTATTAATCGGAGGAGCATGACATTCTTTGCAAACATTGCTGAAACCTCAAAACATCTTTGGGAAGTAGGCAAATACCTATAGAATTAAAAATAAATCAGTAAGATTTTCTGAATTTTCTCCAACTTTTAAAAACTTTTTTGTTTAAAGTTTGGGAGATTCTGTCTCTTTCTTTAGTCTAAAAGGCAATAATCCATTTGATCAATTGTATAAAGAAATGGACTAGTTTACACAGAACAAGGAGCAGTGGTGTCAAGTTGCAATGGGGGAGGTCTAGGTTGGATATTAGGAAACACTATTTCCCTATGGAGGTGGTGGAATCTCCATCCTTAGAGGTTCTTAAGACCTGGCTTGACAAAGCCCTGGCTGGGATGATTTAGTTGGGATTGGTCCTGCTTTGAGCAGGGGATTGGACTAGATGACCTCCTGAGGTCTCTTCCAACCCTAATGTTCTATGATTCTACACAGCAATGTCCAAACGTTTGAAACATTTAATCAATTGCTTAGGCTTTCTTCACTGTTTCCAAGATACCAGCTGGCATACGTGCTATAATAGTTTGCCTGCCTTGTTCCACTGCCTTGGGACAAAGTTACTGTACCAGATCTTGAGACTTGAAAAATATCATTTTGAAGAGTAGGCATCCTTTCTCATTGGGGGTTTCCACCAAAATGTTGGCAACTTGATGTAATAATATTTGATCCTATTTTCCAGCCATAAATATCCTATAGTGTATAGGCCCATCTGCCGATGGAGTCTTGTCCAACACATTTTTCAGTGGAGGCATAATAACAATATTAGGAAGTAGATGGGGTTTCTGTTTTCTGCTCATGTCAGTATTACAAATAGTGCCTAGAGGCCCCCACCAAGAACTCAGTTTTCCTGAGTCCCAGGCCAAAGCCCTACCCACCGAATCACACTGCCTTCTACAGCAGATGCTAAAAGGCTATGAGACCTATCCAGTTGCTGTCTCAGGCCTCCTCTCTCTTTTTTTCTGAAGATGAGCTCGTCCTATCCCTCAGCAAACTTCTGGACAAAAGCTCTGTAACCATGAAGACCTTCCGCCTTAGGTTTCATTGTCTGTTTTTCTTGAAGGACACATGACGTTGGTGTACAGAGATGCGTATCCACTATAGAACCTTGTATATGATCAGATTGAGATCTGAGGAAACCTACAGAGTAGAAGCATGGCAAAGTACAACATAAAGCAGTGGTGTGCAAACTTTTCCGGTCACACCCACCTTACCATTCAGGGAATTTATCCCCCTCCCCTCCCACACACACACACTTACTTGTAATCTGAAGTAATCCTTACTTCTGTGCTGCTGCTGGCGGCAGTGCTGCCTTCATTGCTGGGTGGCCAGAGAGCTGCTGGCTGGGGCATTCAAGTTGTTTGTGGCATGGGGGAACTCTTCTTTTCATCCTGCTCCTGTGCTCCCCTGCCATACCCATTCTATTTTTATCCTGCTCCCGTTATTATCCCGAGGGGCCTGTGGGACCTACAGGATCCCAGTTTCTTTGTGCCACCCCGAGACTCTCTTGCATGCTTCCCAGTTTGTGCACCACTGGCATAAACTCATGCTACTGTAACTATCTGTGGAATAGAATCTGCCATATGATAGAGGTTGCCCAAGGCCTCTTTGGTGGCCAAGAAAACAGAAGAAATTTAATTATATGGAAATGAAAGGATTTTTATTGGATAATAGTAAAGAAATAAGTTTTAGGTATACAAGGTACACTAAATAGGGGCCCACAGCTCCCCAAGGTATTACATAGTGACAGAATAAATTCCAAAGTAGGTGCTCACACTACGTATCTTATTACGAGCAGTATTGTATTTCAAACAGTTCAACCCTTCCTCCCCTCCAAATAGGGTCAAATACTTTGGACTTTGAAAAACGTATGTTTAAAATGTTGTCTTAGGTCTTTATAATAAGCAGCAGAAACATGATTTGGGTGCTGCGTTAGGAATATGTTATTGTAACTTGGTAGACTAGTTGAATTATCTCCACCCCCTGCATTACAAGAAAAAATGTCAACAAATAGCTCATTTAAAGCAAATGTCTGCAAGGGCAACACTTCACGATTTGACTCGGAGAGCATGAATTCATTCAGCTTTAGATCCAGACAGCAAAACACTGCCCTGGCTTTTAGCCAATGGTCGACTTAAGCTTTGCACTTTTTGGGGTCAGATTCCTCCTGTATGAAGTGGAATTTCTAATATTGTTCACTTTTATGGAAAGCAAAACATATGGCAGGAAGAACGATAAACCTTGCATAGCAGAAATAAATCCCATCAGTGAAACTTTACTTTCACCCCTACTACTATTTATTCATACCAGCTATTAGTCAGCATGTTAGGGCCTGAAGCAAAGCTCATTGGAGTCAATAGAAAGACTTCCATTGACTATGCCCAGTGAAGAGTCTTTAACCTCTAGAGATTTGGCTTATGAATCCTGCTGTAGGATATAAGTGACAATAAATTTGATGGTCTCATTCTAATCCATGTAAACAAAAGCTGCAGTTTGGCTCTTCTGAGAAGCAGTCATGCTAGAAGTAACAAAGTTGTTTCAAATAGAGATAAAAAGTCTTTGGACAGACATCATCTGCCTGTATCACATCCAATTTAAGCCCTAATAATGAGTTCCTCACTATCACCTAGCCCTAAAATAATTCCCAAATTAAGGAATAAATCCTTCCAAAATATCATAGCCATACACATCCCCAGAAAGATTTAAGGAGACACTGTTAACTTTTCCTTCCATTGTTTTTTCTCTTCATGGTTTGTAATCTCATGGTTTCATGATTCATTAATCTTCTTTGTATTTTTAACCTTATCACTAATGCAAGCCGCTCTGAGAGCATTTGTTTTTCTCCTTTTTAAGCAACTGCTGTATCAGACTAGAAGGGGGAGCTCCTTATATGTTGATTTCTGTATGATTGACCAAAATGGCAATGATTTTTTTAAAAAAATTCTCTGAGAAAGTAGTAGTAATCGACTTTCTTTATTTTGAATGAAGAGGATAGTTTCAAGCAGAGTATAACAACATCAAGGCAGACTGAATTTTAAGTTTACACAAGTGCCTGATTCTAGTGCATACGAGTCATGAATGTATGGCTCCCAGCAGTAATTAATGTTAGTGAAATGTGGAACTAATAAATGTCTCTAGTTAAAGACGAAAGTATATTTTTAATAATCCGAAGAATATTGTGTAAATTCCCATATGAGCAACAGGATGTATATCTAGATTGATATGGTGGTAAAAGTACAGATTAAAAGTAAGTACTGTATGTGCAAAACTATTTCCTCTCATACTTTCCAGCCAAAGCCTGAGTTCATGATTCCATTGAGCCTTTAAAGCCCAGAGCATTTTCCTGCATTTCTTTAGGCATTTGGTGATGAGGACATTTCCTGCAGGGGAAAATAATCTGAAGATCAAGTATGGACAGGTAAGTAAAGGATGCTTGGTTTTAACCTGAGAATATGAGCCTGTTCCTGTAGCTCTTAACTTTATTACGTGAGTAGTCCCATGGACTTCAGAATGGTGCGAATGGGATGTCACCATCAACCTCAAAGGGACAACTCGTATGTAAAGTTATTTGTGTGTAAGTGCTTTATGAAAAGGCCCTATATTTGTAAATTTCATTGAGGGAATGATCCATAATTCTTCCTACTTTAGGTATTTATCTGGTCACTGTCACCAGAATATCTGAGCACCTAACAGTCTGTAATCTGTTCATCCTCGCAACACCCCTGTGAGGTAGGGAAGTGCTATTCTCTACATTTTTTTAGATGGGGGAACTGAGGCACAGAGAGGCTAAGTGATTTGGTATGGGTCATATAGAATATCTGTGGCAGAGTAGGGAATTGCGCCCAACTCCCAAGCTAACACCGTACCCACTGAGCCATCCTCTCCCTGTCCAGCCACAGGCTTTTCTTTGCATGAGTGTGCAATGTGGTGTCCAACAAAGCCATTTGTTGCTACTCAGAATGCTGGCTGAGCACTTGATTGATGTCTCTTCAATCCTCTCAGACCCTGCTCATCTGGGGTAAAATCCTGGCCCCAATAAAGTCAATGGCAAAACTCCCATTGACTTTCACTCCTGGGCAGGAAAGGACCTAAACCCATTCTGTTACTGATGGGGGATTTGGAAGAGTAATTTTTGTAATTCACTTTCAAGGTGCACCGAGTGAGAAGTTTTTGTAAGTTGTTGGTACTTTGTAATTCTGCAGGTGTTATGAAGGGCATGAAACTGGAGAATTTAAGCTTGGTGGTTTTGTTAAAATCATTTTTACATGGAAGTTCGATGTTATCAAAGCCAAATGAGTTTTTTCCCCTTATACATTGAAAATTTCTCATATGATAAAACTGAGGATGAAATAAATTGTTTTAAAAAGACAACCAATCTCAAATTATGGTTTGCCATGAAATCTGCCATGAGGAGATGTATTAAACATGTCTTTATTTGTGACATAAATTGTTTAGATGATAATGATGATGAAAGTGAACATTTTCCATGAATTGAGGCCTGGTTCCTATATAATGTAGCACCTTGTTAACAAGAATTCAGGCACCAGTATCCTATCCCACTCAGAGGAAACAGTCTGTTTTTTATTCAGTGTACACATTTTTGAAGCTCCTTAACCCACCTGTTTATAAATGATCCCACAGACTCTGCTTCTAATCCCAAATGTGCCTAAAAAGTGGTAGAGTCTGATGGGAAACGTGTAGCTGTAATAGATGTGCTGTTATGCCCTGTTGAATTTAGTTGTAGTGTTTATTTTGATGACCTAGAGAAAACAAGCAAATAGCCAAGAAAGCTCAGAGCTGCCTGGGGCACTCCCTTTTCTCCAAAATATATATATATATACACAGTGCATTGGTATATATACAACTGACACTAGTGAAATATAACCATTCTTTTTCTTTATGTGAAAGTCTTATAGAATTTAATGATAGTGTTTATAGAAATTCTTCTAAAAATCTATGGAATTTAATAGATATCTCTATAGTAAGTTTTTGGTTTTGGTTTTAGCCTGTGCATTCAGAAATTCATGAATTTTGCTGCAGGATCTAAGATTGCATTAAAAACCATAAATTTCTAATCCTATATGGTTATGAAAGAAACTTTCCAAACCTGAAAGGGGGGGTACCTGATGCAGTGTATTCCTGCCTGAGTTTTCATAGAACCTGAAACAATAGGTCTGAGACACATGAATTGCTCCCCATTCATCTCAACAGGGATCTACTGATGTCAGTTAAAATGTTAATATTGTCAGCAATTGAATTTTTGATCAGGTCAGCAGAAATATCCAGCTAATATGTTTATGTCACAGTCCCAAACTTCCTCACACATCTTTCCAAGAGTCCAAAACTCCAGCTATCTTCCACCCTGCTACCAAAAACCCCAGGTTGTCTTCTAACAAGCTACCAACACAATCAGCTTCCTCACTGAGAAACTGTACATTGCAATTATGTGTTTTCAATACAAGATTCTTCAGCACACTGAAAATACAAATTTCAGGACAGCACAAAACAAGTTGATTTTAATATAAAATAGAACAACACAAGGGTAGGGTGAAGATAAAAGGTGGAAAAAACAGGCAAAGTCATGGTAGGGGTCTACTATAGACCCCTGAATCAGGAAGAGGAGTTGGATGAAGCAGTTTTAGAACAAATAACTGAAATATTCAAAACACAGGACTGGGTAGTAATGGGGGACTTTAACTACCCAGACATGGGTGGAAAAGTAATATGGCAAAACACAGAATGCCTAGTAAGTTCTTGGAATGTATTGGGGACAACTTTTTTGTTTCAGACGGTGCAGGAAGTAATGGGGGCGCGGGGAGGTGGAACAGCTATTTTAAACTTGATTCTGACTAACAGGGAGGAATTGGTTTCAGAGCTGAACGCAATTGGGTGAAAGTGATCATGAAATGACAGATTTGATGATTCTAAGGAAAGGAAGGAGTGAGAGCAGCAGAATAAGGACAATGGACTTCAAAAATACAGACTTTATCAAACTCGGAAAACTTGAAGGTAAGACCCCATGGGAAGAAAATCTAAGGGATAAAGGAGTTCAGGAGAGCTGTCAGTTTCTCAGAGACAATATTAAAGGCACCGCAGCAAACTATCCCAATGTGAAGGAAGGATAGGAAGAATAGTAAGAGGCCATGGCTCCATCAGGAGCTCTTTAATGAACTGAAAATCAAAAAGGAATCTTACAAAAAGTGGAAACATGGACAAAGATGAGTATAAAAGAATAGCACAAGCATGTAGGGACAAAAGCATAAAGGCTAAGGCACAAAATGAGTTATGCCTAGCAAGGTACATAAAAGGCAATAAGAAAAGGGTCTATAAATACATTAGAAGCAAGGGAAAGATAAAGGAAAGTGTAGGTCCTCTACCAAGTGGGAAAGGAAAGCTAATAAGAAGGCTGAAATTTTAATGCCTATTTTGCTTCAGTCTTCACTAAAATGGTTAATTATGATCAGATACTTAACACAAGATTAACACCAGGGAGAGGGAAAAGACAAAATAGGGAAAGAACAGGTTAAAGAATACTTGGATAAGTGTAGACATAGCCTTAGATGTATTCAACTTGGCAGGGCCCAATTAAATTAATTCTAGGGTTCTTAAGGAAGTAGCCAAAACAATCTCAGAACAGTTAGCAATTATCTTCAAGAAAACATGCAAGACAGGTGAAGGGACTGGAAAAGGGCAAACACATTACCTTTCTTTAAAAAAAGAAACGAAGAGGACCTGGGGAATTATAGAACAGTCAGCCTGGCTTCTATACCTGGAAGAACACTGGATATCTGTAAGCAGCTAGAAGATAATGGTGTTATAAGGAACAGCCATCATGGATTTGTCAAGAACAAATCATGCCAAACCAACCTAATTTCCTTCCTTGACAGGGTCACTGGCCTAGTGGGTGGGGGGGAGCAGTAGATGTGATATATCTTGATTTTAGTAAGGCTCTTGACACAGACCCATATAATATTCTCATAAGCAAACTAGGGAAATATGGTCTGGATGAAATTCAACCAATTATGCACCCATATTTGGTAAAGATTTTACTCAAAGAGTAATTATCAATGGTTTGCTGTCAAACTGGTAGGGGTTATCTAGTGGGATCCTGCAGGGGTCAGTCCTGGGTCCAGTACTAGTTAATATTTTAATTAATGACTTAGATAACAGAGTGGAGAGTGTGTTTATAAAATCTGTGGATGACACCATGGTGGAAGAGGTCCCTTTGTTTTAAATTCTAATTCTCTCCTCCAATCTTGACAAATTGGAGAATTGGTCAGAAATCAACAAGATGAAATTAAATAAAGATAAGTGCAAAGTACTTCACTTCGGAAGACAGGAAATCAAATGCACAACTACAAAATGGGGAATAACTGGCTAGGTGGTGGTACTGCTGAAAACGATCTGGGAGTTATAGTGGATCACAAACTGAATATGAATCAACAGTGTGATACAGTTGCAAAAAGAGCTAAGAACATTCTGCAGTGTATTAACAGGAGTGTCATATGTGAGGTCTCTGCTGAAGTACTGTCTAATTCTGGAAGCCACGCTTTAGGGAAGATATGGACAAATTAGAGAGAGTCAAGAGGAGAGCAACAAAAATAATAAAAGGCTAAGAAAACCGAAGCTGTGAGGAAAGGTTAAAAAGATCCTCTTTTCTTGAGAAAGAAGACTGAGGGGGAACCTGATAATAGTCTTCAAATATGTTAAGACTGTTACAAAGAAGACAGGGATCTCTTGTTTTCCATGTCCACTGAAGATAGGAAAAGAAGTAATGGGCTTAATCTACAGCAAGGGAAGTTTAGGTTAGATATTAGGAAAAACTTTCTAACTATATACACAGTTAAGCTCTGGAATACGCTTCCAAGGGAAATTGTGAAATCCCCGTCACTGGTGGTTTTTAAGAACAGGTTAGACAAACAGCTGTCAGGGCTGGTCTATGTTTACTTGGTCTTGCCTCAGTGCAGAGGGCGGGACTAGATGACCTTAAGGTCTCTTCCAGCCCTACAGTTCTCTGATTCCATGCATTATTCATTTTCATATTTAATTCAATAGCAATCTACATTTCAGAAAAAAAAATAAAAATCTGAAGCTGCCACAGAATCTCCAGTTTGCTACACTGGAATGCTGCAGAATCCAGAGGCCTGGATTTAGGAGAAGAAAATAATGTTTATTAAGGGGAGAAGTTGATATAAGGGAGGGGCCATGAAAATTACACTAATTCCTTACAGTTTCAAATATACCTTTGTCTTTTCCTGTCTCTGTGTGTGTGAGAGAGAAAGAGAAAACTAGTGTGTTTTCTTCATGTCTGTTGAAGCAGTATTGAGTCTTCCAGTGATTTCCCCTTCGCCTTACGCCCCATGGCCTACATGCACTGCATTACAGATCCATGGGCCAGACCCTCCTCAGCTCATGTAA